GCTTTCATGTAGTAGTACGTTATTTATTAGCCCACTCGTTTTTCGGTTACTGATGCTGTGCCTATGACCTAAGATGCCTTCAGCCTTGTATGGTCACCATTACCTACCCTGGTTGTCTGTTACTAACTGTCACGTTACTGATCTTGTCGCAACGTACAGAGGAAGTTCTTCATCCATCCAGTGCATGGATGGCCAACGGTCTGATGGTGGTAGATTACTTTTTGTCATTCTGAAACATCAATAAGGTGCTTTGGGAGGTGGCCATCTATATGCTCTCAGGGCGTGGACCGCCTTCTCTGCCGCTGTTTCTCCTAACACAGGCCACAGATTCGGTCAAAATATTTGTAGACGCGCCCATGACCACCATTAGTACAGACGACAACGGCGATAAAGACCGCCACATTATATTATCACTGAAATTATGTTCCCCAACCACATCTGTAAATATGACCGTTGTCGTTGATGTGCTTTACTCGTACAGCTACCCTTGTTCTCATTACCGAACGCGAAAATCTCCATCAACTTCACCCTATGCAGTGTGCTCTTGATCACAATCTCGCCTTGACTATGTGTTTTTAGCGGAGAGTCGCTGTCTAACTACTCGCCAGTAGTAGGGTTACCTGGACTCGTTAATAAGTGCTTAGGCCGTATGATTCGTAATCTTGTTCCACAGAGAGCAGAAGTCCTTTATGGACCCATACTATGATATGTCGAATATCGTACCAACTGAAACATGAGGCGGCTTGTGTGTAGCACATTCAGTTGAAGAACATCATAAACGAGAGAGTCACTGAGATTCCCCCGTAGAAACCAGACTGATTTGCAAATGAGTGTATTTGTCGAAAAGTCCAACTCCTTACGTATACCTCGACTTTTTCATCTGAACTTGTTACTGTTCAAGGCAGTGTTATTCCACTCGCTTGCTTCAACGGTAGATCGATCGACCATCGTTCTTCGAATCGGCGCGCTGAGACTGACTCATCAGCATTTTTGTTGTTTATCAGACAATGGCTACATTTCCGTTTGCCGACTAGACAAATGCCTACTCATACCAAATTGGCGAGATGAGCATTCCTATCTAGATTCGTGTGCATAGGTCTCCATACTCGATCTACCGGTGCCACACACGCGATAAACCTGTTAGCCCATAACTGTCACCCGGTTTAAGGTGACAACAGGTCCAGCTCGTGTGAATAATAAATCTGTCTCGACATTTCTAGAGTTCCAACCATCTCGAGGCCCCTTTTTCACAACAATTTATAGTTTGCAGAGTGAATACAATGCCCTTCTTAGGAAAACCATCATCCAAAATGCCTGGCGTGTAACAGGAGTGGACTGTCCTCAGTAGACATCGCTGTGACGATTTGTCTAGTTACGACAATAATATGGGTGTAGCGGTGTCCCTCTGGATAGATTTGGCGGGATTGGGAAAACTGATTTGTATTCAGAAGGTCTTCCAGCACGAAACGAACTCCTAGGGACCAGTCAAATTCTCATACTACCACCCAACTGGAAGCAATCTGCTCAGAAAGGGTAATATATATGCATGAGCATTCCATCTGAGAGGTTGGATCAACTGCAAGTGGCCGAACAGTATAGTATTCAGCCAATTATTGAGAGGTTTCGGGTTCGAATAGTCCTAGGGAGGCGTACGGTGCTGACATACTGATACACTGCTGATTTTTCTCAACAAGAATGAAGCAGCTGTGCAACACTTCTCGGTTTTCAACATGTTTAAAATTACGTAGGTGGGCTGTTTGAAAGAACAGTCTCTCTGGAGGGATTAAGACAGTGTGAAACGTGCCGGACTGTCTGTTTGAATAGGGTTTACTGGCGCGCTGGAAAACACAGGTGTGCGCTTCTTCAGGTAAACTACTTTGTACGTTGTATCACGGCTTAACAAGTCTTGTTGCTGGTTGGTTCGCTCAATTTTTCAGTGTCTGTGTGTGTGTGTGTGTTTGGGGTCCTGTGTTGGGCGGTCTTATCAGATGCAATGTGTTGGAATGTTGGTAGCTCGGGTGTATTGATGTCTCCTCGAATGGTGACGAAACGTTTGCAAATCAATTGCTAAGCTCGGCGAACAGATCAACAGCCACCCGGTCTTATCAGATGTTACACGCCGTAAAAGGGGTTACGCTCGGTAACTCCCAAATGGGCTAACTCCAAGGTGGCCTCTAGAAGACCCTAATTGATTATCCCCCTCGTGCCCTTGACCAATGACTGGCGTCGTTTGTTTAGCAAACATATTTGAGTTTCTCATCATCCCTCATCACCTGACACTGATGCTTCGCTGCCGTACAACCACAAAGGTTACCTGATCATCATCGTCGCCATCCTTATGTCACTTTGTCCTGTTCAAGCATGTGTGAACGGGTTTAAGGACAAAATGATTATCTTACTGTGCAACAAGGTTCGGCAAGAGTGGCGTCGTCTTTCCTTTTTCCAGTTTGTTCTAATCCACCAACTTCAATAAGTGACTGCTCTCACATCTTTCTCTGTTTGTTCGTCCTCAACAACACACTTTTTATCTTGGCGTGTTTATTAGAAATATGCAAATGAACAGTTTACCTCCTAAGGTTGATGGACAGGTGGTTCGAAAAGACAGCGCTGATGGTGGTCCATTTAAGAAGGTTTTTAGGCCTTTCTAAAGTGGGTTTATCCCATCGATGAAATGAGTGAATGATGAAAAACCAAGAAGCATCGTGTAGTTGTTTCATACTTGTCAAGAATCATCAACAAGGCATGTCTTACATACGAACCCGAAATACCTGAAGTGCGAGAATGAACACGCTACCATTCAGCTACGGGAGGCTGATAATCACTTTGCTAAACTTCCTATTGGGCTTCCTTATACTTAATAAGACAACAGGATATCTTGCGACCTCTTGTTTACTGACTATTTAAGGGATGATGAGCTTGTTGTCAGGTAAGTACGCAGCCAGCCCCTGTGAATCAAGTACTATTCAAATCACACTGTTATTTTCGAATATTCGTGCATGAAATGTCAAAATCCATGCGAAGTGATTATCAGATCAGTGTATTTTTATCGGCGCCTTTCCCTCTTGTTCCATCTCTACTGGAATTTGTCATGGAGAATCTTTCATTCATTGTGCTTGCTCTGTCTGAATTGGAGCGAAATGGAGGTGTGCTTCATGAGCCTGAGCCCCTTCCAACTTCCTAAAGTAGCTCGCCTATATTACTTGCCTTATTTTCCACTCCAAGTTATCGGCCTTCGAATAGCTTAAAGAATGCGTCGTGGATGAAAGGACAGATTGACGGGGAAACTTATCTTCCGTATTTCGGTTCGTAATTTTCCGCAGGGGTCTTCTGTTACTATCGTCCATCCCTGTGTGTAACTTCGCCTTCATCTAATAAAGTAGAAAACCTTTCCAAGCAATATAGGCCCACTCAAACTGTGATTGCTATAGGTCAGATGACAATGTTAGTAAGCGGTACTGATTTAATGAACTCTGGCTTGATGCCTGCACACGCAAGTATTTGTTGTGCGATTAACTTATGGCTTCGCACCCGCACTGATTCTGAAGGAAATTAGCGGCACTGTGGGATGTTGGTCGGAGAAATCTTATTATCTCAGGCTAATCTGATTACACTGAATCTGCTCACAGGCGAACGGAATTCATGGAACGGTAAGCAAAGATGAGTTGGTCACGTGAATGATCAGGTGACCGCTCATACACTATCTTTTGGACTCGGAAGATGAACTCTTATGATCCTCCCCGTTGCTACGGTAAAAAATACCGCCACAACCAGTTCTTGATGTTGAAATATCAGAAATAGGTCGTACACGTGTGATGGGATGCATCGGACTAGATTTAAGGCAAAGTTATCAATGGTTATGGAAGAAATACGATGGCTTAACTGAATCCTGAACGTGGCGATTGGAAAATTTTCGCTTGGTTGCGGAAAACGTGCAGCACTGTAAATCGTGACGGCTCTGTCGTGCCACCGAGGTGCACTGTCCTCGATATCTCTTTCAGGATGGTGTGAATCCAGTAGTGGAAATAACGACCACTACGAAGTTTTGGATACCCTCAATGCAATCTACCTTCCGTTGTGTTGAGTGTTTTTACGCTTGGTTGAATACGTCTCAGCATTTGCTGCCGATCGATGTCATGTGCTGTATAACGCTCGCCAGAGGTTGGCAAATCAAAGCTGATGAATTTCCGTTCCCTATTTATTTCTCTTGCTGTTTCTGTATCCAGGCAACCAGGCGGTCTTTCAACTTTTCTGAACAGTCTTATTAATACGGCTGTCCGGTGTACCCACCGTTTTTATATTTGACTATTCATTCATTCGGGATAAGCCCCCTAAATACTTAATCATTTTTCATCCTGTTCCTGGCATGATTTATAGGCCATAGCTAGACTTAAAGTAAACTCTTTGATGTTTTCCGCCATGCTATGAAAGTACTTGGTGACACGTAAGGCGTATGGGACTGACAACAACGGTTTGAGTAAACATACAACACTGTTGTGATGTTCTCGACTGTGTGCATGCCGAGATGCGCAGACAGCCCAGGCGGCTCTCCGTTCGCTCACCCAGTCACTGGTTAACTGGGGTCTACCAGTTGCCACTTAATTTCTTTCATAGCACGAGCAATGTTGGACATTATCACACATCGGAATGGTAGCAACATGAGTGGTAAGGCGCTCCGAAATTTAGAAATGGACTGAAATGAATTTTTGAACGAAAGTATTTCCGAAACGTTTGCATGCCCTCATGGTAAAATTCATGACTTTTCTCCTTGGTTCATTTTATTCCTACTGATAGGATTCTGATGCCTATGCTCCTCCCGTTAGCCTTGACTTTTGCGAGAATCGCGCACAACCATACCCAGTCGCAGTCAACTCTGGTCACAGTTTTTATCGGTAGGCAAATGAATTCAAGCGAAATTAGCTACTTATAACCCCAACCTCACCTTTGTTGCTCACTGTTTTTAGTGAAAGACTGACCGTTGGATTCCTCATTCCATTCCACAGGACTCTCACGCTGCCATTTTCAGTGATGCCGAGTCGATTGAAGAGTGCATTTCAGCCATCGGAAACCACGCGTTCGACCCTAACGACTTACCCTCAGACACAGAACATGCTATTGACGAAGCTGTTGCCCATGTCTCTTCACAGATCGATGCAGGCGACCGCAAGCTTTCCAACGTACGCACCGCGATGCGGTTCGGTAAACCCCCTTCAGGTTTGGAATTTCAACGTGCCAATCTTCTATCCGGTCACTCGTCTCAGCTGAGCCTTCAGTCCGCTCTGTCCACCCACTCGACCGGCACTTCCTGGAATGCGATTGCCAACGCTGCTGCGGCTATTTCCCTGGCCGGTAATCGCATGACGTCTCCTCACAACGGGTCCATAGATATGTCAGATCAAGCCAAGTTTTGTCCTCAATCAGTAAGTACACAAATATTGTCAGATGTATACAAATTGCCTTCTCCTCGGATGTTACCTTCTCCATGGAAATTGCACGCCTGTTTCCTATGCCTGGCACAAAAGAACCATTAGGGACCGTTGCGACTAATTGTCAGCAGGCTTAGTTCAACATCTGCTTTCTCCTGTCCCAGCTGCTTTTTTCTCTCTGTGTTTCCACTTGTCTATAACCGTTGGTGTCCTGAAAACGTTTGGGTCGTTTCGTCTGTTTACAAGCCTTCACAAGCAAACACGCAGTATGACGGGGAGCTACGCCCAACACCGCTACTGCAGCACACCACCTGTCGATCGACAGCTGTCGATCTCCGACCTCATTCGAACTACGGTATAGCCTAACCGACCGGCAGCGGAGACTGACGTGCTACAGTCTGCCATCGGAAAGTCACACAGATGCCCTTGTGTCCTCGCCTGGTAATACGTCTGGTCGGTGATGAACCTAGTTATTAGAACACAGACAGTTCTGTGGGGCATTCTATTCTTCTGTCGCGTCAGCTCTTTCCATGAATATTTTGGCTTAGATTTGCGAAGTCGTATCGGTTGATAGCGACCGCTGTGTTCGCTTCACCTCTTATTCGACTCGTGATCACCTCCGGTAAACGATTGCCAGACGCACTATCCTAAAGAAGCACATTGATTGTAACCCGTCAGACTTTCTGTTCTGGATATTACGATTCCGCTTCTAATGAAAGTGCACTCGTTTACCAGGGTTCATATTTACTAATCTGTCAGAATCACTATCGATCTTCATCTCACTTGAACTGTGAACTTGACCTGTTTTTGTCCTTGAATCTCACGGTCACTTATGTGAGCCTTTGTTATTGATCTCCGTTTCTTCGAAAGCCATACAAGACATCCAGCGAAGTGTCCTTTTGGGAGAGGGAGAAAGAGAGACTAAGTACCATAAGCCCCTACAAAGATCTCTTAAGTTCTGCTATTTTGTACACAAAGTAAGCTGGTTGGAACTCTCTTGTAGAACACGTTTCAAGATAAGGAATGTCTGATCATACATCGCTTGCTAAGCAAGTTGCTGACACTGTTTTTGATTCTATCAGTCTGTCTTACCGTTTTCTGATATTTTCCCGTCTGCGGAGTGTGGGGTGAGCAGACAACACCGATGATTGGCACTTCTCAGTTGACGATGTATTAGCCATTAGTGGTACATCGAACCGTCAAAGTTATAGTTGCTTGTACCAATACCTGTCTTGCAATTAATCCTTCTTCAATCGTTCAAGTGGTATTCACTTGAATTTCCTAGTCTCTGATGAATTCCCTATCTGTATTTTTCGTAACGATATTGGGCGGTTTGTAGGCCTGCTGCCTTGGAAATGGTAGCTGTTACTCAGGCTACATCCGGCATTGACCCCTAACTCATCGTTACCCGTTATCAACCTGGTAGGTGGCTCACCTAACATAACAGTAGACAAAGAAGTTAGTTGAACTGTCCGTTGCCCTGAAATGCAGATTGACTATGAACCACAGTATTGTGCACTCTACCACTGCGGTGGGGTTCTGTTACTAAAAGTCCACCCGTTCCCCTGCGAGTCAAGATATAGTGTTGTGGCCCCAGATTTACTAAATCTATTCACGGAAGGATCTTTGAGTCAGTGGGCCACTCACATTTTCGCCTCTGATGGATATAACTCGCTAGAACCAGCCTGTGCCGACATACTTGGTGCATGGCAGCCTGTTTTCAGGTTTGGGGATCGGTCGTGAATATGGGACAGTCATTATCCTTCCCATGTTTAGTCCTACCAGCATAAACATACCCAAACGCATACATCGGGTGACGATACATTGCGCTGGCTGTGTTACTGCCAGCCTATCGTGTGCCATCGCAGTGGCGCTGAATTCAATTTGAGCTTACTAGATGGATCGGCAGTGTGTTAGATGACTGTAGAAATTAGTACTACCGAGAGTTGGCGGAGTCTATACCAAGCCACAGTCTGAAGTAGTGGTACCAAAGTTGTAGTCAATAGTTTAACTCAAATACTCTTGTATTCTGGTTGTTATTCCCTAGGCCGACGCACAAAGTCCCTGCACGGCTCTCACACGCTAGTTACAGTGGCGTGCAGTGTGAGTGAACTAAAGCGGACTGGCAACCAATCAGGAGCATGGCACCACGATGCGCGGCATAACGTATCCCTTTGCACAGTGCCTGTTTTGCAGTTGCTGTTTGTTTTGTTGAACTTCGCCTAGTGATGCAGAAGGAACCCGACCTCTACCTCTCGACTTCCCCTGTCTAGGCTTGGGCAACCTGGCGGTATTCCAGCCCTCGTGTTTCCTTCGGGTGGCACGGCAGGTAGGCACCGGAAGCGTGTTACAGCTGGACGATTTTTTTAGACTGGTCCTCAGCTAAGCTTTGCCTGATTCTTCCCAGTCGACTGATCTAGGAAGCCTTGACTGTAACCTGGGGGAAGATCCCAATGGTCGATCAACACCGTTGATAGGAATGTGGAATATTTAGATGGTTACTGACATTTTATCGCAGGAATCCTCAAAAGTGACTCTTATGAGGGGGTTTCGGTCCTTCGGAGGTGCGTTGGGAGGGTTGATATGTGGGGCGACGCATCACCTACTTAGTTGTGGAAAAACAGATGAACAGACTATTTTGGACAATAAAATAGCGTAAAGCAGTGCTTAATCCTCTCAATACTGTTCTAGAGACCACCCTCCAAACAAAAAACCCTCCTCGATTCCCCAGGAAACCCCCTACATCGTGATAGATAAGTGTATTACCCTTCCTATTGTTACGGCCTGATGTCTCTTTTTATTTCTGTTCATTGGTTGTTTTTTCCAACTGATAATTTCTATCTATTTCAGCCAAGTAACACGTCCAACTCCCTGTCTGGCACCCATCACGCAGGAGACTCGGCCAGTTTGTTTGAACATGTGGACTGTGCCTCTGCTGAACCAGCATCCCCCAACACTGCCGCTTCCAGTATTCCTCCTTTGGGTAAGTTCATATATATTGCGTCTTCTGTTTGCTTGTCCTGGGATTCCGTGAATTCGGTCAACTTCAACATTAGGTCACTTTCCGTTTCGAAGACAAGGGTCACGTGTGTTTTGGTCCCGGAAACCACGACAGCTATGACTTAAGCAATTCACAGTGTCCGGCGAATTCAGCGACGTTATCATTTACTGACTGCCTTTTCGTTCATTTTACTGCAGGTCTCGTTGGACCTTGCTTCCCGACTTGTTTGTACTTCGGGCTAGTGGGCTTCCCTTGCTTCTTCTGGGCGTAACAACTCAAATGTGTTTGACTCACCCATCACTGAATGCCTGTTGACCATTGAAATCAGGTTTCTTTTGTTAGGGGAACCTTTGAACAAGTTCTATGGTTTCATCAACACATCATTTAACTATCTTGGAGGAGCATAAATCACAACAACGCCTGCTTCGATTATTTCCTATAGATGGAAACCGAATAGTCGGGATTTTCAAAATATCAGTATGTTGGTGTTGTCAGCCTATTCGTATTCATATAGATTGCATAGGCATGTACTTTCTTTGGGGAAACATCAAACAGTACGTCGTCATCTTGTTTGTCTGATGCACCTTTGTATGTGTTGCTGCATTGCATCGTATCCCAACACCAAATACAATGATATCGAAATACTCCCCAGTGGTGGCCATCCCTCCAACAAGCACCGCTCTAATCGGGTCCCGTGAAACTTGTCTGACAATAAGTACCACTCCTTATGGTCCAATTGTGCCTATTCGGTTTTCAGCAGTGGCATCATTTTTCCTACTTTACAGCACAAAGTTCCAATCTTGTTGCATTAGTTCAACTAAGCAGGTCGAATGTGGTGCGTGTACAAGATAACGTTGGTTACAATCACTATAGGTTTGCTCGTTGAGGTTGGGTGATCACGAGCCAAACGCCAGTCGGACACATTAACGATTTCCTGAAAAGCTACACCACCCTCAACTGTTGAGCGGAATCTCGTCCCGCAACTGAAGTCACTCTTTGCTGAAGAGCGGAGAAGCACTCACTATACAGCTGTACATCCTTGCTGGAAATGGGCAGCAGTGAACATCCTACGGTCTTTATGAGATTTGAACTTGCAACCTTCCGACTAGTGTTTCTGTTGTGTCTTGATGTACGGTAGTGCAACTCTGTATCGGTCCCTTGGCTTCCTGCTCCGCCCACTATGATACATCAAAAGGCACGGTAGCTCTTCACAGCCCTTTATGGAAACAAAGGAAAATTATTACAACTGTATTTATAGGTTAGTCACAGAGTGTTCCACAAGGCTGTGCCAGAATCTCCGTGAGGGGGCGAGAGGCGTCTAGTCAAAGGTGCTTGACTCAGATTGGCTGGCATTTTGACCAATCAGGGCATGCCTTCGTTTGGCCCGTGTCCTGCACGTGACACATCCGTCCAAACGATGTGGTGTTCGGATATTAGAGACGGCTGGCCTCCGTACAGTTTCACCGCTGGTGGCTAATCAGCAGTAGCGTTAAATCGGAAGTTCACCCAGAACAGAAAAATAGACCAAGTCACGCGGGCTCTTCTGCTGAGAGACATTCTAGGAGACAGCTAAATGTGAACACATGTTGTGAATTGCTTGGCTGAAAGATTGTAGTTCCATGTCTCATCTAGATGGAAGGTGCCCTCATTGTTAATGAGCCGGTGGTAGGTTTTAACCGGGAGGTGGCGAATCTAAACTCTGCGAGAGGCGCGTCAGATGTACATTCTGGAGATTCCTAACAAAGCTGAAACCCTTCTATTGTGTCTCTAGGCTCTTCGGTATCGATCGATTTCACGTGCAGGATAAATCCATGCTTGAGACTCCAAATTATCTCCACAACTGGTAAACATTTTAAAAAGGATGCTTGCAAGTGGAACATAAGTTTGATGGAAACTCGGGACTGCACCTACCTGATGAGCCTCAAGAAGGGCGAAACCTGTCGTGGGCTGTCGAAGAGTTTTCAGCAACCTTGTGAGTAGTTTTCTTCATGCAGGAGATTCTTGCAGCCATTTGTGACTATCTTTGCTGAGCGCCAAAACATGAAATCACTGGGATAAACGAGTCATGGCAAACCAACAATTTCCCCTGATTTCTCTCTGTGGACAAGAACTGCATTATTTTCTGCGTACCACGTCCGTAGAATCACTAAACAGCGGAATCTTTGTTAGCGTGATAACTTAATTGATCATTCGTCTTAATTGTCATGCAAGCCGCTACGCAGCCAGCGGTATTGATCCATTCGACCCTTGTTGATGTTGCTGTTCAATCCCATTTATAATAGTAGCAGCCTTTGAATTTTTACCGATTTCGTGGCCATTTCCTTTGGTGTTCTCTGGTGTTCACTACAAATTCCTAACTACCCAGTGTCCATAACCTTTCTCCTCACACAGAGCTTGAGAGCACCTTTGTACCACTGAATGACTCTCCAAAGCACAACAAACCCAATTCTTTCCTCGTTGCGTCAGAGGATGACGATGGAGAAGGTGCCACCACGGAGGATACGGAGGATGGGGAGACCGAGGATGAAGAACGTTTAAATGCTTCTGATTCCGCCACACATGAAGGTGGGTAACCAATAGGTTGCTGGTTGGTCTTCGACTCCGGTTTCGCTAGTTGGATGTTCATCAGGAACATGATCCTTCTCTGTTAGGAAACCACGTGTGGCCGAATCTCATGCGGTGCGATTTCCTAATCATGATGGTCGTTTCGAATCTTTTGTTTGATTTAAGAACAACATTGCTGTTGACACCATGTTCTACACCAAGGGACGCTTGCTTATTTGAGCAGGACAATGTCACACCACACCCGGATTCATCTAGGTAGAATGAGGTGGTCTAACATTCTTTAGGATATCGAACCTATTCTTGCCTTGGTTGCTATCAGCACTAGCTGGTCACCTCACGTCCAATGAATACTTTTCCTTCTTTGACCTCTCAGTTGAATTGGCATGAGTATGTGAACTCGATCATTAGAATCTTTTGAGCGTGTAAACATCACCGACAGTGACTTTGTCCAACCAACCAGTAAATCATTCGTACTTGACGACTAATTTCGCATCTTTTTGAGTCGTTTCTCGTGTTTTACCTATCGATTTTCTTACCTTTCTCCGATTTGGTTCCACAGAGAGAGCTCGACCCATACTCTATCCGAACCAAGCCATCCCTGCACCTGTCTACACTAACCTGAGTGAACTGAAACGCGCGGCTGCCCGCAGGTTTGGGGAGACGGAGTCCCCTTCGACCAGCATAGCAACATCTGTGACAAAAGAGGAAAACGGGCATTGTACTTTCCGACCTACTACCCCCATCACAGGTAGAACTGTGCGGTTTATACTGACCCGTCCGATAAATTGTATTTGACCGAATGACATTTATGCCTTTTTTAGATCTAGGGACTGATTTTTTCATTGTGATGCGATCATGTGTTCTCCCATTGCAACCGGGCGTTAACTACATGTAATCAGGCCGGTTCACTCATGTATGTTGATAGATACGTATTTTGACGCTGATAGACGTGTGCACTTTACGCTGATGGTAAAAAAACAACATGTGATAGGAAGTGCGCCCATCGTTTTAGCCCTAATCATTAATTGAGAAGTTTTTGCACTGGCTAAATGTCATTGGAATATCCGTTTCCAAAAAAAATTAAAAATATACTTGTAGCCACTGGAAGCGATACTTTTCGGGTCATTTTCAGTCAGTGTTGTGTTATTTTTGCCCATCCATCGGTGTGTCTGTTTAGTAAACTTTACAATGATCGTCATCTGATTCGATAGCCTCAGGATGCTCGCCTTTCTCGTTCGGTCCAATGGGTTTGTTTTATCACGGAGCTTGTTAGTGCCGTGCAGTACAACAATCCACCCGTAAAGGTCATCCTGAGAGAAGGGGTTTCGTTCCCTACTGGGGGACAAGCTGACAAGCAACACTTCGATTCGCTCCTTTCGTTCAGCTGTAGCGCCCTTTCGGTGCCTAACTGCCAGGTTGTTTAAGCCTAGGGAGGGGAAGTCGAGAGGCAGAGGTCGGGTTCGAACCACGAACCTTGCGGTCAGTGAATCGCGTCCTAACCACTTTGGCCTGCTCAGTGCCTAACTCCAGGTTGTTTAAGCCTAGGGAGGGGAAGTCGAGAGGCAGAGGTCGGGTTCGAACCACGAACCTTGCGGTCAGTGAATCGCGTCCTAACCACTTTGGCCTGCTCACAGTAGTACTCATTTTCCATTTGTTGATATTTCTGGTTTTCCGGGACCCTGTTTGCTGATAGTCTGGTTGTGTTTATGGCGTACGTTGCCGTAGCAGAAAATAATTGGGGGTTGACCAGTCCAGGGAAGTACACCGCTGAATCTGAAATGCTAACACATTTCGGCCTCGAAAACACCAAACGGATTCGGTCGTATTGGAGACGTGGAAGCTTTACAGAGGGATGGAGAGCTTTAAGGGAAGGATCTTCATATGGATAGATAATATCTCATTACGATTCCAGATGCACCATTGCTAAACAGTCGCACATACTGCTTTTAAAAACCGTGTGAAAAAAGCCCACTTGATGTGCTGTCGATCGTAACAAGTGCTACAACAAAGTCGGTCGCCGTTGCTGACGATGACGGTGGGCATCGCGCAACTGGAACTGTGCACGAATCCACATGTTGGCTCGATTTGGTTCACGTCTTTGTAACCATTTACTCATCCAATAATGAAATTAACACGAACAACAGCTGGACTTCAGTAAACATGACCCCGCGTTTTTGCACCTGACTGAATGATGAACAACACAACACTTTATAAGGATGATGAGAACTCCCGGGCAGCCTACCAACGGTTCTTGGGGTTCGAGTTCCCTTCAGCGACATTTCCCACCTGATTACCAACTGGTACCTGGCTGGAGTTATACACTCATTTGCAACTTTATTTGTGTGTCAAGAAATGTACTTTGGTACTTTCGCGCATCAAATTCAGTTGTAAAGTATGGTAAACGAGAGTTCCAGCAGTGTGAGCCTTAGTTACATTATTTTCCTTCAGTTGGTTTCCTCTTCTGTTGCGCCTTTTCCAGTTAGTTAACATCCCACCGTCATATGTATGGCTGGATCGCCACGAGGCGAATTAATGAAGCTCGATTGATGGACGAAAGGTAGTACTTTTGGCTGTTGCAGGCTCATTATTGAACGTCTTTAGTATCTTGTACCTTGTACGAATTTTTCGCCTGTTGTATGCACCCATATTTTGATACCCTTCTGTCACGGATGAGCCACGCCAGGTCTTAATGAACGTTCGTTCTGACAGGATCTGATCACAAACACCTGCCTTCGGTGGATCATGCAGGTAGTTCCATTCACCTGCAGTCATTCGTGTCTTCTTCGAACAAAGGTGTGAACATCAGCTAGCATTCCAGGAGGTTGATGAACACGAATCCGGATGATAACGTCTCAGGATGCCTCAAAATACACTGAAGGCTCCAGCCATTCATACGTCGGGTGGTTGATAATCGCGTCTCGCGCAACAACCTCGTTTTGTGCACCGTGCTGATTTTTAGAAATGATGAAACAACCATGAACCACTCCCTTCCCGGTCTAATTTTACACCTGTCCTACTGATGTCAGATAATATTCTCCTAGCGGCTGATTCATCAAGCCGTTTTCAGCTGATCGACAGCTTCTCGTCCACTTCTCTCTTTCCACTATATTATTCGTGCACTTATGATGGTACGAAATAAGAAATTGCCCACATTCCCGTTTTTAAACTACATCAGAGATAACCTGTTTGTTAGAAAACTCATACCCGTGAGAACTTCGTAAGTCTTGTTCAACATGTACAGTCATCGGTATCCTCGGTATGAACCAATAAACCGCAGCTCTGAAGCTCCAAAATGACCTGTCAGGTTACTCTGCTTTTCAAGATATACTGTCCGTGTATCAGCTGTTCACGTTGGAACGGTCATGAACTCAGCATGAACCAGAAGGCCAGTTGAGAATAAGAAAAAAGCAATACTATTGTGATTGGCTGGGACTAGCTTCGATGTGATAGGCTACTTGACAACTACGCAGTGCGTGTCGCCGACCACTGGCTCTGTAGGGCACTGCGGCCACAGACTATCTGAACTGCCCTACCTGAAGTCCGTCTTAGGTCGTCTCCGAATCCTTCCCTGTGATTCAGCAGATCATTTTGTCGAAATTTTCTCACGTAGGGGGTAGTACCACTTGATTTGAACCATTTTCACTCTGACCGCTGACCGTGAGTCTCTAGACCTGGAACTAAATGCCAGAGTACATGCGTCATTCGTATATTCTCCCCTACTTTGTTCTTCGTCCCCCGTTACTCAGCGCCCCAACCGTCATCCACGGCCAACACACAGCCGCCCGTCCAATCCGAAAGCGGCCACGTTTCGTCCGCGGCTGACATGATACAAGTAGATGGATTCATCAGCACTCCGATCATTTCGGGCACGTCGACGTTCAAGCGAAGACAATCGGAGTACGGTAGACGGAATCCAGCCGCCCCGCTATCCAACGGACTGCCAGTTACTGCCACAAACGGCTGTACTGGTAATCCTAGTGGCTATCGTCCGCTTGCCTACAATTCCGTCACTCCAGGATTGGTGCGTCGTGGAAGTCAGGTGAGTTTGAACACAATTCCCTCTTGCTGCTCATTTTTTGGCAGAGACCGAGCATGTTCTGAGGTGTTCGGCTTTGAATGCGTTGTCGGGGCGACCTTACACTGAGCGGCCATATGCGACATCCAATGAGTTACACACACGAATGATTGCCGTTAGCGTGGTTCCCTGTAATGGCAACTTGCGTTTAAGGGCTTGAATCCGCCAATTCGTAATCGTTCAGCGTCGGAGAAGTAGCGTTCATCGACGTTTATCGCGAACTTCGGATAGATTCCAAGGCCCCCGATGCTCCCCATTATTGGCTGACATTCGAATTCGATTCGCTGAACGGCATTGGTCAAGCCACAGCAGGAGAGCCCTGGTGCTCCCTGTGAACCGAATAGAAGCCTTCAGGCTCATTTAGCTCATTTGGCGGGTAAAGATGCAAACATCGGTTGCACGCCATTTTGTCCTACAATTAAGACGATGGATCGGAGAAATCACTAAGGGACATGTACATCGTTCTGACAAGGAAGGTGGGTTATAATCTGCCTATCTTGAACAGCTCTAGAATAAAGTGTTCGTTCATCAAAGTTCGAACCAATCCGCTTTTTCCTCTGGTTGAAAAAAACGTTTGTGAAGAGACCATAACAGACACGGTAGGTGCCACTAATTTGAAGTACTTCACCTTGTACGACGAGGGGGTACATGTCGTACAGCTGCTACTGTTACTCTTTAAGACATGGGCCCTTCTATCCGGAAAATCTGGAAGGTCTCGGTGTCTGTTGAGTGTTTTTCTTTGTATCTGATCCGATACTGTCTTGTTCTTACGGGCGTTTTTCTCTATTAGTCTTGTTTTTACCACTTCCAAACAGAAGTACTCCGTGTGGCAAATTGTTCGCTGATAATAAGCCTACTCCTGATGTTTGTATCAATTGTCCAAGGTTGGTGGTAAATTGTGTTTGTCACCTGCGGTGGGTTGTTCCACGATAGCTACTCAGACTTGATGTCATCTTAAATCCGCTCGTATGAAGTAGGTAGAAACAATGTTATTCTAATCCGCCTGGTTTGGTCAGTGGGGCTCTTGAGAAAGTGTCTGGCAGTGCGTTGACTATCGAACGCCATGAGCACCAAATGAGAACACATTGGTTGCTTTTAGGCCAGAATCAAATACACAAACTACCTTCGATATTGACAAAAGAAAGTCTGCTGGTCAAGAAACAGTTTGTCGGAACTTTGTCGCTCAAAACCTCGATGTAGCCTCAATTATTCAAGGAGTCCTACTCTTACGTCCCAGACAAGGATACAAATCTTAACATGAAATGAAAAATCAGCCAGCCCGAAAGCCGTCAATACCATTTGGTTCGCTTAGTTCGTAATTCGCTAGTGAATGGAACGTGGGCCGGGAAGAAGAACGTGGACCTGTCAGAGACAAATCTTTAACTATCTCCATGGTTTGAAAAGGAAACCAGTGACGAACAGTAATGTTTTCGGGATCTCGTCTTCAGGTCAGTACATATTTCTTGGTTAAAATAGGGGCAAAAAATGAAATGCGGAACGAAGATTGGTTAGTGAAATGCAAAACGTGGAGACACCATCGATTGGTTGTGTGCGCCCCCATGTCGCACCTAGTTGGATACTGTAGGACAGTCTAGAGGGCCGTTGAGTGACTTAGTCGGTGGACTTGTGTCACATGACCAAGGCAGACTCAGCGTTCGCACGATGCGTTTTTGACAGCACAGTACCGGGTCTCGCAAGCGTATAGAGACTGCCTCAGCTGTAGTCAAGTGAAGCCGTTGGATGGATACTGGTGCACAGTAAATGACGTGAGATGACTGATTTGGAATGACTACGTGCCCGGTGTCAATCGGGTGGGATACAGTTGAGCTTGTGGCTGAACATACTCCGCTGAACAACAGCAAGAGAAAGAATACACCCATGGCGATTCCATTGACTTTTCGCTAAAATGTGGAATGATTTTGGAATTGGACGTTAAAAGTACAGTGAAGAAGTAGTTTCTTTAGGGAGATGGTGAGGATTGGGACTGTTAAATCTGATGAGTCAGCGTGATCACAGATAAAATCTACAGTCTCCAAGAGCAGAACGTTGGTAAAAGGGGAAGTTACGTCAAAAGAGCACATAAATCTGGAACCAATATCAACCTCTTCTATCAACTCCACAAACTCAAAAGTGTCACAGGGACTATACCGGCATGTCGGCGTACGGGTTCTGAAATCTCGATCAACTATTGGGCAGTTGGATGATATGGGCAACTACACATCCAAAATCGGCCTCAATGGAACATCTTTCTCATGAACCTTATGCAGACCGTGAAGTCGCGGGATTGTGGTACCGGCCGGTCTCAGGCGTTGGAATAAGACTTCTGAAATTAAACCTTCGTTCTTCAGGCGCTTCAGACAGTTTGTTGGTTTTACCTCAATTGCTTGGGTCTGGTCTTTCGCCTTTTGCTAGTTGCTAAATTTCGAAGTGTCATTCAAGATCTGCATCATCTAAGGTAGTTATCCCTGTTCTTAAGTACTATTCCAACTCCTTTGTCAGGCTTTGTTATTAGTATATCACTCCTCGTTAGTAAAGCTTTTAGTGCATCTAGATGTTTCTCACTGAGAAGACTTTTGTGAACCAACCTGGCGTGACTATATTGATAGCTGCAATTGACCAAATCGGATTTGAGGCGGTCTAAGCCGGCCGTTGAGGTTGGGAACAAGTCAGAAGTCTGATCAAATATGTTTGCCTATTGCACCTCAATTGGCAATTTGTCATCTCTACGGCGTGGGCAGCAGACCAAGTAACACTCAGTAACCAATGCCAGACTAGAAAGCTGGATAGTTCAACTCGACAACAGTTGAAATATTGCCTTGAGTGGCCATCTGAATGTCGTTGTAGACGATATAACGAAACCCGGACATAGCCGTAAGGGAACTAGAAATAGGTCGCTCCGAATTACGTCCAGCTACGCTCGATTAGGATCCAAACGCACCATTTGGGCTTTGTGAATGAAAGTCACTTCCTTCAAGTGTTAGTCGAGTTTCGCTACCCTTTGTTGTTGAGTTCAACTACCCCCATCCCTGAAACCGCCTGCTGGCACGTGCCAAACTGTCAGATAGCTTTCGTGGTGTTGACGCACAGGCAGCTCTGTGTGCAGCGGACGAAGCGAATGTTGTTCGAGTCGGATAACCATTGAACGAACCAAGAAGAACAACACTAGCCCTGAGATTCGATTCTAGATTCATCCCAGCGGGAGAGATTTTGGTGTGATGATGCAGTGTAAAAGCCGGCTCTTCGTGACGTCGGTGTTCTACGCAAGTGACTGCATTTTTGGAAACATTTGAAATATTGGCCAGGTTCGGCGACGTTGTATATGTCACCGAGGTATGAATGAGTGAATATACGTACCTTTAGCCGTTCCTTTCTCCTGGAAGACATGGGCACCCGTTTTCTGTATTGACTTTCGAACAGACGTTGGTAATGCTGTGTTGTCGGAGGTTCACGTAACCTGGACCCCTTACAGATTGATATTTTCATCCAACTTGATTATTTGGCCGTCCATTCTACATTCCAATAAATGACGTTGGGATTTCCGGTGACGTGATCGTTCTGGACACACAAGAAGACCTCCGAAAACTGATATCAAACAGAAATCAAGTTCAATAAGTAAGAGATCTGAGTGTGGTTAGTCAGAGTAAATTCGAAGTAGCTGGCCATTTATGGAAGTGCACCAGAATGGCCCTACACAACTGTAAGGTCTGAAGACACCCTGAAGTATTCCTTTCAATTTATCGAAGTTTCGTCGGGCCCCATCTGGAATACTCTGCCCACGCCCCGATCTACTGACACCCTGGAAAGGTTTTAGACACTCCCACTTACTGCATTCTGGGCTTACGAGGCCCATCTGTAAGTATAGAATACAACGTAAGTCTGTTCTCGAATGTAAATCTTTGAGGTGAGACCAAGTCGGTATGTTCATCTTACGAACTCAGACTCATCTCAGGTGATACGACTAGTCACCGAGTAAACCTAGCGTAAACTACGGAATGCGACCACTGTCCTTTTCCTTGTGAGTAGTCATCCACGGGAACCGTCTGCTACGAGGGGTCCTGGCATCCACCACGATCCATTTGCTCAGACTCATCTCAGTTGATACGACTAGTCACTGAGTAGACCTAGCGTAAACTACGGAATACGATCACTGTTCTTTTTCTTGTGAGTAGTCATCCACGGGAACCGTTTGCTACAAGGGGTCCTGGCATCCACCACGATCCATTTGTCCAAAGATAGATGGGGGGTTATCGTTCCATTTAATGGGGCAGAATTTCGCCCTTGGATGACTAGGTAGACACCGGTCTCTTCAATCAGTAAGCGCTTCAGATTTCATTGCTCCTGCCCTTAACCATTTCTCCCCACCAAAAGTGTCTTATAGGACAGTTCGTCTTTAAACTAGGGACGGGTAGGTGTCTTGGAGACACTGTGATTCTCCGATTCCCACACAGTGACCATTTTCGTGGTGCCGTGAACCAAAGCCCTCTGTGCAAGAGTGGTGGCGTTCAATTTCAATTCCTGTGCATTGAACCTTTGTCCTACTGCTGGTTCTTTGCTAAGCCCATTAAAAACAGTATCCGAACCGGAGATATGCTTCGTTTGATCTATCATCACGCTGAAAAATGTTCACCTTCGATTTTCTAAGGACAATGACATTAGAAAATCACTTTTTTGCTTGCGCACTGATCTAATAAAGCCGGTGCCAATTATAGTCATGATGAAACTACTTATATCAACTATTAATAATGGCTAAAGTGCTGTAACCTGATTCAAGCCACCCGAATTTCATCGAGCTAGACAGCAAACTAATATCAACACTATTAACATCCATCCATTAATTCTTCGTCGACTTCACCGTTGCCACGAGCTGCCGTCGTATCTCTCCCAGTCCTATGTTCACCGTTTGCTTTGAAGTCAAGTACATTTTTCATCTGAAAACCGCAGTGTGACCGTCTCATGAGTGTAACTTGATTGATTTCCTTAAACACAGGGATGTCGGTTGCATCTGACTGTTCTACAGTTAGTCACACTGCTGGTCCTTATTCAGTTTCGACCTGTAGACCCGTGCCCTCCCAACGTTAAGTGGCTTGTATTCCGTACCTCAACCGACCTGCTTTCAGTTCAAACCCGTGTCACTAACTGTGAGATATTGATTTGTTTAAGATGGTGTACTTAGTGTTCACCTCTGCTTTCCCGTTTATAGTTGTGTGTGGACGGTTCTGATGGTGGCTCACGCAGTCAAACTAGACCTGCCAATCCTCCCAGGCGTTCAAGCAGCGTCAGTCGAGAACTAACGCACTTACGTAATCCTCCGGCTGGTGCAGTAATGGATCCGTACGCTGCCTCATACCACTACAACGCATCACATCCTAGCACCTTATCCAGCGATGGGCTCATCGATCCCGGAATCCAACGAGTTTCAAGCTCTCTCTTCACTCATTCAACTGGTGGTCATCAACAACAACACCAACAACGTCAGCAGCATGCTCACCTAGTCAATCATAATAACAACGCCCTAGATGCCACAAACTGGTCGGGAAACAACTCGAACCGCTTCTCATCACGTCCCAATCTCGTCCAAATCCCTCCAGCCGTCGGAGCTCATCTCTCTCAGTATGGTTCGGTCTCGGCTGCCGCATCTTCCTCCCCTAACAATCAGTATGTGACCAACGGACTGTTCAGTCGACCAACATGCTCCAACATGCCTGCCTTAAGTCCTCCTCCATTAGCCACTGTTCCTGCTCCGACACAGTCTAAAACCAACCAGCTCATGTTTGGTGTCAAGGTATTGCCAAACCAAGCACCTCCAATGGGATTGGCAGCTAGTTCCCAGTATGCTCGACTACCTCAGCAACACCGCTCGATGATGCGGCAAGCAAGTTGTGCACCAGAGAGTTTGGTCCCTACTGAACGTGAAGCGCCTTCGATGGGATCACCTGTCCCCGTTCGTGCTGCTTCGAATATGGCGCTGCACCGCGGTGTCAGTTCACAACAGCCCTCCAGAACTACGGCGAATAATAGCAGTAATACGCCAATGTCTTCAAAAGAAGAAACAGTAACTAGTAAGTTCTACTGTTGCACCTGTTCATTTGACTTAAGCTTTCAATTATGCCCACTCTTGCGAGCGACCCTCTCAGTGACGCTCTCCATCCAAATTGTTAATGTTACTCGATCAGTCGGATCGAAACAACCATGCTAGTATTTCCTCGACGTGCGGTAGAAGGTGCTCTCATACGGTTTTAAGAAAGGCCACTCCAGGCATGGAGTACCCGTACGAGGATATGATCCACTTCGCAGTGTTCAGGGAAGCGCAGCAATCAGAGGAGTATGTCTGTGCCCAGTCAACTCGTTAAGTAATCGCTCAAGCGGTCGCAAATTTATCGCAGTTCTACTTTGCGCAGGCGGGGACCAGGGAGTAGTTGAAGTTAACCAGACATCAAAGATGGCAGTTTGCGTCAGTTCGTTGTAGACAGAGTGGCTTCTAAACGAAAGTTTCAAAGACAAGGTTTGAGATAGCTGATTACGGCAACGTAAGTGCCGCACCACTGCACAACTGATATGTATTCATAATTGTTCCGAACCATTCGTGGGATCCCATTCGGATAGCTAGCATGTGTCAACCCAACCAATTTTGCTGGTGTTCCTGTATCGCCGTCACAATCGGCACACGCTCCCTTGATATGCGCAGTATGTGGTGTTGTCTGTATAATCCATAGTTCTGGAAGAAGTCTTCAGTGCGGTGTGTGCACAGCTGTCCGTTCGTTTATATTTACGCCAGGACCTGATCGGAGTTTATCATCTGTAATCTACCAGGAGGTTGTACTTGGTAATCAACGGGCTGATTCAATGCTGAATCATCCGTCTTACTGCTTTGGTTTTGTGCTGTGCTACCATGCCCTTTGATGAAACCCCCATCGGGATAGTCGCTCTATGGTTCACCGTACTGGCCTAGGTGGATGTGATACAAGTACACCTTTTATTATCTGTTAACTCGTCGAGTTGGTAGGTTCGCTTGTGGCTGTTTGTGGCCCGAATAGCGTGCACAGATTAGGTCAGTGCCCCCAACATGTGGCTTGCATTCCCTTATTCTTCTTACCCGCAGTGAACGAGCTGTGGCAGCTGTAACCACGCCTTTTGGTACACGTAACTTCACCATGGTCAACTATGAACGCCAGTGAGTAGCGAAGAGAAATGGCACTTCAGTGTGGTCAGTTGACGATATGGAAGAAAAATACGGTCACAGTCGATGTTGCAGTATTATTGTGATAGTGATTTCGACTTGCCGGACGGTCAGTAATGCTTTGCTAACCCAGTTGTTATAGTTTATCTGGGGCCACCTATTCAGTGAACAGTTCAAATCTCTCCATATCCAGGTCCTCTTCGATAGCGTTCTATCGACAATTCGGGTTCGTTTGCTTTCACGATAACATTGTGATAATGACTGACCGGTCTGCCTGCCGGAGCTCAGTGTGATAAACAATCCTAGTAGGTTGATGCGTCATGGAAGACCTTTGACTGACAGGCGCTTTGTTTCTGTTCAGTTTTTGGTAAGAATCTCGGGAGGGATGATACCGTTGTGCTTATCACCGACACTACCACCAGTTGGTGTAGGTCTAGAACTCCACTGGAGTGCACGCTTTTATTTGCGTAACGATTGTCACACGGTGCGAAACATGGCGCTGATGCAGCTATTCGCGTCACTGCCACCAACTGGAGGTTGCAAACCATGATCTGTTTGACTAGTGTTAGTGATGAATATTGACGGATAAGAGAGATATCAGAAACGAGTGACATAAAGGCCCACCAAAATATCATCGTTCTCTCATAAAAATATGCCGACGATATGCTGAATGCGTGGACGATTGAATTTTCCTTGGGCGATTCAATTCTGCACTCTCTCTCTCTCTCAAGAGGAATTAACCCTTGAAATTGTTTACTTGAGGAGAAAGTAGTTGTCTCAATCGGTGTTCGACCAGTACACAGCACAGTGCACTCCACACCTTGTGAGAAAGTGCGTGAGATTATTTGACTATTCTGATTCGTCCAGACACAAGCAAACCTGACCATACAGGTTTCATGCTAGTGTCGTAACAATTTGAGTCATCAGTGGGGCCTAATAACCCATTTGCCAGCTCATCCGTCGCTTAGCTTGTAACGGGGTTGTTAAGCCTGAGTGACAGTGGCAGGTGGGTTAAAGTGGCTCACACCAGGTTCCTAAAAGGGAACGTTCATCGAGCGGCTAGCTGTTATCAAGATGTGGCTGGATCCTGGAACGCTTATCAGTAGAGGCTATTTCGACTTTGCACTCCTTTCGGTATTCTCTGTATTCCTGGGGAAACAGAGACTTGAGAAATATTAGATGTGAATACGAACACACACACGACGGGACTCTAACCTGTAACCTCTCGCTTACCGGATACGTGTTCAGTCAACTAAGCTGCTATTCACGCTGTTCCATTTTTTGGATTGTCAGTTTCCCGCTGAAGGAAACACCCCCCGGGGGTGTTTATCCCACGTCTATTTTCTTTATCCCATTAATATCGTTTGTACGTTCATCGGTCACTGTGCCGTGTCTACTACGGATAGGACTTGTAGGTTATCGCAAAAGAAAATACATCTGCCACACCCATTCTTCCGTATTTGCGTCCCATAGCTTTACTCAGTGGTAAAAAAACAACTTCCCTTAAGGACATGATGAGGTGATGACACTTGGCCTCACATCTTTCGTGCGCTGTTCTCCATTGTTCACAGCCTTCATTCAGTTCAGTTTCTAGTAGCAACTCTGTCCGATTCTGATGTGCTACACCACCGCAGAACTATGACAAACGGTAACTGTATCAAACAACACAGGTTTGGGGGATTACCTTAATCGATTATCAGGTCAAAATGTTGTGACTATTCGTCAGTGTATTTCTGTCGTCGGTAACCTGTCAGATTTTTGGGTTGACTAGTGACACTGCAGCTGTCTTCAATAAATACTATTGCCGGGTGACCAGATGTGGCTTACTGAAGGGCTGTTTTAAGGCAAGCGATTCGAGGTCAAGATAGCTCAGCGTTTCAAACTCAATTCGGGTCTCTTGACTGTTTCTGTTTGGGCTTGCGCAACCTGTTAGTATCTCAGCCCTTCCTCCAGGTGATATGCTAGATAGACATCGAAGGGGTGTTGCATTTAGATAATCTTTTTTCGAGGGATTCGTCCAGGAACGCTTTTCACAGCTTTCTTATCTAGTGCAAGGCATCCTTGCAGTTTGTTCGATGATGACTACCATTACTGCTTGCATTTTTCGTGGATCCACACACGAGCGCATTTATTGGGACAGTCTCCTCGAATCCAATGACTGGCCACAAGTAATATTTGACTATAGCTGTACGACATATCCAGCTGAACTGGAACGACAGTAGTTCGAATCGGTTAATTTTTTCGCCTATCATGTGTATTATCTTGATCATTTGACGCCCACAGCTGGATAATTATGACTTTTCAATGAGGACCACTGACTGTAGTTAGTTTGGACGTTGGCCAAGTTGTTTCAAGTAACAACTTAGATGAATGTTCATTCATCCTTTTTATACGAAATATTGATTTGCGGTGATAGTATCCCATAAAGTACCCGATTATTCGTGATCTTGATTAGTACTCTTGGTTGTTTCATTATTCAAACGAACGAGGAAGTTCATAATTCTGATTTACTCTGTAGACTTAGCTTGTGGCAACTCTTTCGTTACCCGTAATCACAGTGTCCAACTGACGATAGGCACAAGAATGCCGGTGTATTTTGAAGTATACTTACTGGGCACATTGAAAGAATGTGTGTTCCGGTATGGGAAAGTAAACAGAGCCTCACCATGTGCTATCGTATGCATTTTGCTTCTCACGCGCTTGCCCGCGAACAACCCGAGGTACTCGTATCTCCGTCGGCCGGTCGGGAGATCTGTATGGGAACTTTATCGACATATGCCTTTTACTGTCTTCACAAGCGTCCAGAGGCGCATCGCCACCTCCATGTGTTCGGTGCAGAATTCCGGTTGTCACTCCAGACTCCAGCAGTTTTTATGGCGTATATGCATTGCATAGCAACACTGGAAAACCCATATATGACACGCGGTAGTCTTTCTGGTCAACATCAGCCCGCTCCCATTACGGCGCATAGCTTTGGTATTGTCTTCATCCTTCTGTCCACATAGTTGATCGCCATATGCTGCAGTACAAACAACCAGTCGTCTAGTGCAGAGTCGGTTGCTCTCACCCACTTCTTTGATGCTAACGGTTATCGTTTGGTGGCCAACTGGTAGGACTGTTGGTGACTTTAGTCGAGCTGTGCTTCTTCGACTAAGGCAGATGCACTGGACCATTCCGTGTGTTGTAAAAGTTGTTCCATGAACAAACTATCCTCGAGTAGCCTGATGCAAGAGAGCGATTTGGTGGAATTTTTGATTCCATTCGTTCACATCACCCTGGTCCATGCCACCGGTCCGAAACTACACTGGGCAGCTGTGTCAGAACTAGTCAAGTCTTACCTCTAATAACAGACTGAAAAAAACATCTAGAAAGCAGTCTGAAATGTTTCATACAATTGTGCTCTGTATTTTGAAGCGAGGTTCATCGCTGATCAAGTCTTACTCTAATAACAGACTGAAAAAAACATCTAGAAAGCAGTCTGAAATGTTTCATACAATTGTGCTCTGTATTTTGAAGCGAGGTTCATCGCTGAGCGTGTCTCATCAAGCGTACGTGTTGTCTACCTCGAAACAACCGGTGTAAACTCACGTATATAATTTGCTAGACATCCTCTTAGACAGACTGCGCCGGCTTGTTGTAGTTAAATAGTTATACCTATCGATATTTTATCGTCCCTGTTTGTGCTAGCTTTCCTAAAGATGGACCGTGCCTTGCAAGAAAGTCTGTTGTATACTGTCTCGTAGGTGAGACCCTTCATCGGTAGAACCTCTGTTACGGTGTACAACTTTTGTTGTTTGCATAGAAGAACGAGCAGTGGACCCGCGCATAGTATGCACAACGGAACAGCAATAAGCAAACAGTTTTGAGGACTACAGATAAGCCACAATGGCTTATCCGAATGGAATATCGCATCAGCTGTTCGGAAGTTCAGACAGTTGGTCGTTGGAAGCAGAGCTACTTCGAACTTTGCGCAAACTTCGGCTCTGATCATCGCACAAAGAACTACATTGAGTTACACCCATGAAACACGCACCGTAGTAGAATAAATCAAATTCAAATAGACTTCTATGTCGGTACTGATTAATGATCTCTGTTGTCCATCCTTTGCATGACTGTCTATCTTGATCCCTCTCAATGTGCTTGATCTGTAAGAGTAACCATTCAGGGCGTTGTTTAAGAAGTCAAGGTACAGCTGACATGATTCCGGCTGAGGAAAAATAATCCTGTGTGATTGAGTCATCCATAAAACATGAATGAGAATTGTTCATCTCAGTCTATCCGTCAGCTTGTTTCTTGGGGGTCTACCAAAATGTACTGCCTCTGCGTAGGCAACTTGAATACATTTACGATGTTTGTGCTTCCAATCCACGTATGTTTACAGGACCCTGTAATAAATTGCTTTTTCTCACTTCAGGTTTCATTGACTGATTCGTCCAAACTCGGGTGACCTCAGTTTACAACTGGCTAAAAATCGCATGGCGTTTTGGGCGCAATACTTCCTGTTTCCTGTTATTTCATGAATAACCCACATACCTGGCTTATTTCTTTTCCTTTTTTCCATCTCTACTGTGTGCTAGTGGTCATCAACTGGCATCCCCCCCTCGCCGCTTCCCTTTTCCACTTGGGACATGCGCAGTTAATTTAAATTTCCCACATATTTGCACACATCTATCGGCCGAATTGTTTTTTTTTCATATTACGCATTTATACTCCACTTGATTTTACTTTATCGAGTTCCAATATCTCGTTGGCTTTTTCTCCATCAGGGTTCGGAAACATGTGCCTTGAGTCTGGTCCTCATACACACACACACACACACTTACTCACAGAGACGCCTGCGCTGCTGCTGCTGCTTTTCAACCACATGTTTTCCGTAACTTCGCCTACTACTGTCATTACTGCTAGCTCGTTGGAATGTTTGTTTGCCTAATTATCTCGCCCCATCTAGGCTTAACCCACTGTTACTTCCTAGTGTTGTGTTCCATTTTATAGGCTTCTTATCAACTTTGTACTACCGTATGCAAGCCACTTGCCAACCGACCGGTGTACCACGTGGTGCTGCAACCTATTTTACAAGGTCTTCGAAAGTGGATTTCTTTCCTTGTTTATTGTAATTCGAACTAATTAAAGTGATATTAATCTCTAGCTGGTCTACGTTCATTTGGGAGACTTACTGTCTTGGTGAAACTGCGAGCTTCCCAGCGTGTCAACTTTCGGTTACGGCGTTGCCAGAATTGTCAGCTATGCCCAGTGCTGACTGTCCGCCTAGGTGGGCAGTCTCGATTCTAATCGATACAGACCTGTCCCTATTTGCTAAGTGTTGGCACATTTATCAAGAGAACGATAGCATCCGCCATGGGTCCTATCTGAATGGTGTATCTTTGTTTTTCAGATTGTCTGACAGGTGTTCCTCCCGATTTTCCTTTTTGTACGGCAGCGAAGCATTGATACTGAACTAAAGGTGACTCACTATCGCTCAGCTGTGCCTAGCTGCCATGCTACCCGAAGGAAGCACGAGGGCTGGGATACTGCCAGGTTGCCCAAGCCTAGACAGGAGAAGTTGAGAGGCAGAGGTCGGGTTCGAACCACGGACCTTTCGGTCAGTAAATTCGGGCCATCTCGCCTTGATCACTATCGATATCATGTTGATGATACGTCCGACACTTGTGTGAGTGAGAGATAAGAATATTTGAAAAATCAATATGAGGTAGAATAGGATCACTTTTTTCCGGACAATCGATGCAATTCCGTTAGAAAGCCTAGTTAGTTCCATGATAAATACTGTCGAGAACTGTCAAGGTGTCTGATCGACGGAGACGGTTCATCCTGGGAGATCTGAGCCTCTCCGGCCAATGCTAATTTCGATGTTTCCATGTAGGGTGCGGCAAAACTGGTCAATTCAGGAGCCAGAGATTATGTCGCTGAGGGGTGTTTTTTCTAAACGTTAGTGAAAATCGAAGAATTTCCGTAACTGGATACTATCCTGGAAAGGATTTTCTTTGTGGGATCTGGAGCGTCAGTCTACCCATATGTCCAAGAATTTGTCCGTATTAACTTGACGTATTTTCAACGGACAGTTAACGAACATTCATTAGCCGTTGTTTTGGCGATCCACGTTGACGGTCCTGATCGATGTTCGTCCGGCCCGTTTAGGGGGTTGGCTGGCTATTATCCTTTTTGAACATTCATCAGCCGATGGAATGTCGCCCTGCCGACCCACTCTGCATAGCTAATCCCGAAGCCAGAAAGCAAATTGTGGCTGAAAGTTTTATAGGTTCTAGTGAGGGGGAACGGAGCTGGTTGTCCTTCTCTTGTCAAACCTTGCTCGACGACGTGCATTAAGACTGTTCGTCACCGTACGGCTAGGTAATTTCTAATACTGGCACGATTATTCGCCACTCATCTACACACATCAAGTAATGTGGTGGTTGGCTCGAGGACGTGGTTCTCTCGTGAACATTAGATTTCCCACGCGTTGTTCGTCAAGCCTTCCCTTTAAGGCTAATCATTTCGATGGGTAGTCGTTGTCAGTGCTGAACGTGGAGCCTGTCCAAGATCAATGTTGATCGTAACGATGGGTATTACGTCACCTGAATTGGGTCCTTACTGAAGATACCGATGTTCTACTGGAATTTCATACCTTACCGACTAACCAAAATTAGGAATTTCACCAGTATAATAATAACTGAACAGTAATTCTTAACCGAAGAATTCTTTTGATGGGAAGCTTCAGCAGTTCGGCATTGTTTTTTGCGCCGCCATTTGTCCATGCGACTCATTCGTCGATTTTTAACCGATTTGTGGGGAGGGTAGAGGACCGATTATGTGCGATTGAGTCCTACGAGCAAAGCATTCCGATTGGTGAACAGCCATCGTTCAAACAAAATCCAATTGAACTGATCAATACAATGTATGGATCAGTAGTATGACGACAAACAAAGTTGATTTATGCGGTGTTTCCGCTAGACATTACGGTATATTGTCTGCATATCACTTGGCGCTCACCTTTTCTGAGAAAAAAAAAACTATTTTTGGTTTGCCCACTGATTGTGTCATAGATGGCAGTTGGGACACGAGTCTTGGTGTGTTTGATTCTAGTTGGTATACAACAAACGTGCTGAAGGGTTTTGGTGTGTGCGCTTAATAGTGCTCTCAGCTGTGTTCTCCCTACACTCTTCTTAGGGTTATACATGGGGCGGTAACAGGCAAATTAGCTTTAGAACATAGTGTGATAACTACCTGCTCATTGTAACGCCTCTAGCGAAAACGTTAGTAACAGTTGGGTGGGTGAGCACCTGGTGAGGGCAAACGTCACGTAATATCACATATTCTGGTCTGGGTTGAAACCGTATGAAAATGTACTTCCCGGTAGCCCACTTGTTCGTCATCGTCATCAACAGCATGACATCAGTGTTCAACGCCGATGCTTCACTGCCGTACAACCATGATTTATTTGAAAGCCTTGTTGTAAAGAAAAGAATAAAGGTGGACGAAGAAGGGACTTAGTGTTGGCTTACCACAACCATTCTGAGCCGCCTTTACCTCCAGACATTCACTCAGGCAGTCTGGATAGAAACTGACAACGAGAACGCCACTGACATCGGTTGGCAGCTATATCTTGTAGTGTCTCCAACCAGGCACAGGGAGGATCACGCGGTTCCCATTCTAGAAAGCAAGTAGCACCTAAGCGTTTCGTGATCTCCTTCATACTCCTCTGCCAAGTCAGGGGTTGGCCACCAATCTGTTTACGCCACTCTGAGTTGGGCATGGAAAACAACACTCTCTTCGGTATACGCAACACGTCCCAACCAACGCACACATTCTTCAATGGAAGTACCCGTTGCACAACGAAAAACGCGCTTTCTAACAGCCTCATTACGGATTCGCCGACGCCAACTCACACGAGCTATGGTTCTGAGACGATTGTCGAACAGCTGAAGACGTCTCAGTTCCGCTGCTCAAATAGGTCAAGTCTCACAGCCATACAACAAAACAGCCCGTACCTTAGCTTGATACACATGTTCTTGAGATTCATGGATGAACCACTCTGCGGCCCGAGCCTTGCAGATTCTTGCTTTGACCTCATTTGTCACACCACAATCAGAACTAATTCAACTTCCAAGATACGTAAAACGCTCCACAACTTCCAGTACCTCTCCCTGGATTGTAAGTGGCGTGTTTGGTACACTTCGTAATCTACCTGTAGGTCATCATAATTTCTCATCGATTTTGCTATTCGTTCACCCCATTATAGTTTCAACACAAATCCGAATTATTTATTTGTACTTGTCCCATCCTCTCATGTTGCTGTGGCAACTGCTTTTCTGGATAAAATCGAAGGCCCATTTGAGCCCTGTCACACTTTTTTAGCAAACGATTGCTAGTGGATTACAACCATCAGGTAGCTAAATCCTGTTGACGTTTTTATCGAGTCAGAAAAATTGGCACCAGACGTTAAACTTGATGCCGACAGCATATGACACCGTAATCTCGGTCGAAAACATCATCCGCAGGTATGAACTGTGAACAGGCAGCACAATGTTCTTCGTAAATATCGTCATTCACGTAATATTCTGACAAACTCTATTATGTTAGAATCGGGAAAGTGGAAAGTGCTTTCATTTGCTCTGAAGTATGCCTTGGAGACAGGTCTTTAAGCTGGTTGATGATATCAGCGCTTGTCTTCTGTTGTTACAGTGAAATGGATACAAGGGGGCGAGGTGACTGTGGACAGAGGGCAAATTTACTGACCGGTAGGTCCATGGTTTGAACCCTACCTTTGTCTCTCGTCTTCCCCTGTCTAGGCTTAAGCAACTTGGCATTATCCCGGTCCTCGTGCTTCCTTGTGGTAGCATGGCACCGAAGGTGTGCTACAGCTGAGTGGGATGATGAGGCGAGTCGGGTGGGGACCTAGTCAGCGAGCTAAAAATAGCCATTAGGCGCGTGCCTACCTCGTGTGTTGATTGGCTGAATATCCAAGCGTGTGGTACACCGTCTTTCATTCGCACAGTGGTTTACACACGCAGTACGAAACGAAGGCGGGCACAGGCGCGTGGCTTTATGTGACCGGGTCGTCGTCAATCCATCACACAGCGCTGTCTACACCCTGTTTGTGTGGTATGTTTGTGTCAATCAGGAGCGAAGTCATTCCGACCAGACTGTCGCAGAGATTTACTCGGCCGTGTAACTACTTGGGCTACTGCTTAGCGTAACTTACGTATGCAACCGTCCTAAGTTCACTTAGCTCCATCATTCGAGGAGATACGCTCCCAGTGCTACTTAAAGAGACTAATCGGGAAGTACGGCAGTGAAGCATTGGTGTTGAACACTGATGTCATGCTGTCGATGATGGTGATGATGAATCGGGCCGAGCTAACGGACTAGTCACCTACAGACCAACGAGTGACCGACCTTGTATCCGCACAATATCAAGTTTGGATTCAACGATCAGATCTTCAGACAGAAAAACGGCGTCACCGTGGGGTCACTTGGACATTTGGTGGCTTGAAGGACGTCAGCTTACCTACAACCTGGGCGCTAGATCGATGACATAATCGCCCTCGCCCAAAATGAACTCAGACCCAATAAAATTCGGACAGAATTCATTCAAACTCATCCAGTTATCAAGTTCACTCTAGAGTCAGAACTCCAGAACGTTATCAGCTTTCTAGATCTTTAAACTAACCAGAAGAAACCATGGCGTATTCCGAGAAATACTAGAAGAATATTACACGGCATTAGTATTGTTACTTTACATTAATGTTACGCAATGGGGATTGTCCCGAGGAGTAAGCTGTAATCCGAGTTAAGGCCACAAAATCCTATCAATAAACAATCTCTTTTTGGCGGGAGACCCAATGGAATCCAGCTATATCTCTCGTTTATGATGGCCCGCTTCAGCTGAATGTAAAGTGAACTGTCGTAAACCAGAGACTCAGCTGGATTCCGTTGGGTACCCTGCCAAAAGCAAATTCCTGTGCAAATGAAAGTATGCGTCAAATCCTGTCCAATACAGGTTCACGTAGTGCATAAGTTTGAGGGACACTCAAGAACTACCCGTACCTGATGACTTACAAGAAATAAAAACCGGTCGCAGGCTACTTCCAGCAATCTCATGAGTAGTGTATTACGTGTAGACCAAAGTATGCGCTCATCCAAAATACCATACAGTCTCTGAAACGCAGAACGAGAATCTGAGAATCGCCGATCAGAAATAACCTTGAGAACGAAAAGCTATCGCGGAGACTCTGTACAGGTTTCGAAGTGTCTTCCATGTCCCCAAAATTATGGGTAATCTTACAATCGAGACTAAGCATGAAACTAAAGAACATTTTAGCATCAGATTTTGTGTGTACTCATTGGAATACTCGTTCAAGGCATCATATATCAGCCGATTGTCCGATAGAGTCGGCGAATACTGCCTAGTTCGGTTAATCTGCGTACTATTCTTTTTGTAATATACAACAGTTGACGCGAATTCGAAACTTGGTTTTACCGAGGCGATATCCATCCGGCAGGACAAGTTTGAGCTTTGTGCGCCAACACACAAAAAAGAACGGACGAGGAAACCCAACAAGTTGGCAAAAATTACAAACTAGAACGGACCGTCAAATGCTTAACACTGAGTAATCTTTTACCTTTGCGTAATGAATATCACTGGACATTTCGTCGGGCAGCAGTCTTAGTTTCTCTTTTTTCTTTTCCCACCTTGAAAATTTTGAGGGCTGGTGCGAAAATGCTGAACAAGAAAGTACGCAGCTGGTCCATGGTTCACCAAAACACGAACAGGCGTGCACTGGTCATCATAGCATGTCTGCGAAGCCCTCACCTAACTGGAAATTCGTCTGGTTTACAGTCTGCTTTTTTCTTCGAGCACACATGTCCAAGCAATTAGGGTGCACAGTTAGACAGAAAGTTGGTGGTTCTCGTCCGGCTTTTTGCCAAACAAGCTATGATGTGCGCTTCGTTGAATCCTGTCAGAACTGCAAAACCAACCTTGGTATGATTCATCACAATATGTGGTGGCCAAAGCCTCTAAATTTCAAGGTTTATGGGTTGCTTTAATGTCATGTACAACCAGTGGTCAACATTTTCACATTTTTTTCGATCGAATGAAAAAGTTCAGCTTATTCGAGCGGTGACTGCACACAATGATGGAACTGGGTGTCGATATCCCCTGGGGCGGGATAGCTCAGTGGTTAGAGTGCGGCTTTACTGACCGAAAGGTCCGTGGTTCGAACCCGACATCGGCCTCCCGACTTCCCCTGTCTAGGCTTTGGCAACCTGGTAGTATCCCAACCCTCGTGCTTCCTTCGGGTGGCATCGCAGCGGGGCACCGTAACGGTGTTACAGCTGAACGATTCTCTTTCTTTGATTTCGATATCATCCATGTCTTGAGAGGCCAGGGGCTATGCCTACCTGACAGGTTCAAAAGGGGCTAAACCATTAGTGAAGTGTTTTCATTCACCACAAAAATGTTGTTGTATCCTGATATGTTGGAATATATTGTGAGAAAAATATGCAGGTTTCAATTTGTCCAAATCTTACATCAAGTAAGTTTGCACACTCTTCCTCAGGATACAACGGTAAAGAATGTAGGCAGACGAAAATTATTTCGATTTCCGAGAAGTACACTCATTTGCAAATCAATTTGGTTTTAACAAGAGACTCCGTTAATGCTCTAACGGAACCCGAAAACTAGTTATACGAACGAGAAAACGGGGAGCACTAACAATGTCCGCTTGTTGAGTAAAATTATTACAACAGGTATATATGCAAACAAGGGACTTATCGTTTTGCAGGTACAGTTTGATAAATCCTGTTGTAAATCCGGATGCAGGTTTCGTGTCTTCTTCGCTGTTGTAACGTAGTCCTGGATACCCGTGACTGCAACGCCGTAAGAATCCTGAGCGGCTCTGCTCCGAGCTGGGCGACGTGCGAAGCTCTGTTGAGTTGTGTCGTGTTGCTGTGCTGGCATCCTATTTGTAGGACGTTTGCGTGTGTGTGGGTGTCAGCACATGACTTGTTGCTACCTTATCAGTCGGTAGGCCGTCGATATCGGATGTGTATCGTGGTTTGTACTATTAGGGAAAAAAACGAGGTCTTGGGATGAAGGGCTTGACCGTGAGCTGTGCAGTCAAGTTAGTCACGATTGTAGCGTGATTTGTGGGTGCAAGGAAAAAAATAGATCTCGTGATCCAGCGAGTGGCGGTGACCTGTACAATCATGTATGTGGCGAAAGGGTAGCTACAACTCAACTGAGTCTCTCGTTTATGGTGTTCTACAACTGAATGTGCTGCATATAGGCCGCCTCATGTTTCAGATGGCACGATATTCGAGATATCGCAGTATATTTTCATGAGAGAAACTACTCACAAGGATGCTGAAATCTCTTCGACAGCCCACGACGGGTTTCACCTTTCTTGGAGTGCAGTCCCCAAATTTCCATCAACCTTATGTTCTACTTGAACTCACATTGCACTGTTTTCGAGAAATACACTCAATTTGGTTTGTAAATGAGCTCATTTCTCGAAAACAGTGCAATTTGGGTTCAAGTAGAACAGAAGGTTGATGGAAACTCGAAGGCTGCGTCTACCTGATGAGCCCCGAAATGGGCGAAATCGGTTGTGGGCTGTCGAAGAGTTTTCAGCAACCTTGTGAGTAGTTTCCTTCGTGATTTAGATTTGTTTTGAAGAACCTCAATTCGCATGCGTAACCTTCGACCAGGTCATTTTGGCGGACAGTGGAGTCACGGATCACAATAGGAATTTGTGGTCCAGGAAAGCCATGGAGAAGTGAAAAATTTTTCACCTCTTCAGACGTGATAGCTAAGATGGATGCACTGTTCTGAAGTACTGCGAGCGCGATCGGCTCGCATGTCATTGCCAGGTGTGTCTAGGTTATGTACCGCCGATACACTAGCGTAAAAACGAACCTAGGCATTTGACCATGCGTAGTCTGACGAAAGTGGTTAACTCGCACCCAGGAAAATAGCTCTTAAGTAATTTGCATGACTTCTCGAGTGACGATATCTTGGAAAGAAGACCTATGCTGGTCACCTGACAACCCATCCAACAAGTAAAGCAAACTGTGGAAAAGAACTGGAATGTTGCTATGTCCTGTCTAAGTGTGGTTTAACCACCGTCAATCAGCTTCTCGTCGCAGAATGGTAAGGTACTGAGCTTCTAACCAGATGTTTGCGATTCGAAACCCCACAGAGTGTAGTGTACTACACACTACCGAAAGGAAAACAGCTCTACGATGCCTTTTGGCTTCAGAGCATGAAGTGACCTCGCGCGCATGGTCAATTTCATTTGAAACAGTTCCTTCTTGTTTAACTCAAGTTAACTCCAATAAATTCTGAAGTAGTCATGCAGTAGTCATCATTTAGACCTGACTCGCGCAAAACTGTAGGATATCTCTGTAAGCCTATCTTTTGAAATTTTTTCTGGAACTCCCATTATCTGTCTGTCGCAAAAGCCATTCGATTGGAATCACTTCAATCAGACTTACAAAGATCAAAGTCAGCATACTTGTACGTACTAAATGAAATAACCTACTCTTTGACATATCTTACATAAAATGCAATCACATCACGACGTTGGTGCTCACAAGTGACCGATGTAATCTCGCTTATACTACTGTCGGTAGGCTTGTTAGCCGATAATCTTGCTTGGCCATGCCAAGAGGTGAGTTAGAGCTCCGTTTATTGTTCACATTCACATCACCTTCGTTTGAACAGTCGTCCTCCTGTCCTGGCGCAATTATTCTGGTGAATCCACGCCAAACGGGGGAGAAGCTTTGGACTCAAGTTTCGCTCTTATTAGAGCTCCTCAGCAGTGCATACCCAATGGCGGTGCCGGGGTTTGAACTCCGGACACCTGACATGCGAGGCAAACTTGTTACCAATATTCTACCAGCGAACGCTGGGTGCACCTCAATTCTCACGTCTGAACGGGTGAACGCGCCCGACACCATCGATGTGACGTCCCAGTAACTGTCCTGGATGTGACCGTCTATCTATTTGCTCAAGTTCCATCATCAGTATTTTCAAACAGCGTGGATTTCTGACTATTCTGAGAACTGGACTGAATGAAGGTTAATCGTCTAACATACCTGTCAACTAGAACAACCGACTGCCTACCTTACCCGGCTAAGCGATTTGAGACCTCTAAGATTGCCAAAACACTGTTAGAGCGGTGGAATTCGTCAGTTCAAAGTTTAGCTAGAAAATGCTAAAAGGGTCCGTAAAACTAAATCGATTTACGGAACAGTTTACTTACCAAACGTATCTATGAGTATCAATTAATTTCGTCGTAATTATCTTGATGTACAGCTAGCCATCTAATTGTCCGTTTGGTAGCCAGGGTATTACATAAGTTACAATACACGCCGTGTTGCGTTTATGTCTAGGCGATTCTCTCGGTTTTCGACGGACGGTGATGTAAACACGAAGAGTATGGCGGCGAATTTTATTGCCACATTAGGTGCCAAAATTTGAGATCGCAGTCTGGACAAGTTTATTAGACGAGCCACAGTTATAAAACAAGTGTGTAGTGAAGTCTAAGGTAGAATATTCGTACGAGTTCACTAAACATGTTTCACGAAACCGTGATACTCGTTATGTGTTATGCCATTTAGCGTTGCAGTATTACCCACAAGAAGTGGAGCGCTTGGACTACAGTAATTCCCTGGGCCCAAACGGGTTCGCTCCCTGAAACTTAACTATCTAGACCTCATAATTAACGGGATCGTGGTTGAGCTGCTGACCGAAACTGAAACGAAATAGACAAAGCCAAATCTTCGAATATACACTCATTTGCAAACTAATTTGTTTTTTTTT